TACAGTTACATGTGTGCTGACACTAGATATACAGGGCCTATGCTTATTATCTAACACAACTGGGCTTACCACTACATACTGGAAGGTATTTGTTTCTTTTCTCCTGGCACTATAAACTTGACATGTGCTTGACCATGTGCTTTAGGTGATTATTATTTATTTGGTGATATTATTAATTAAGGCTGGGCTTTGGTTTGGCACTTAATGAATAATTTGTGCATTGACATGTACATGTAAAACATATGCTCAGAGGGGGGAGAGAGAGAAAGAGAGAGAGAGAGAGAGAGAGAGAGAGGTAACTGGCACAAGGCTCAATATAATTCAGCTTTCTGAACTATGAAGGTCAGTAATGACCTGAGGTCTACTGGCGTCATCACTGCTGTGGTCTATGTCTAGTACAGACTCATTAGCTTTCTCCAATTCTATCTTAGTTCTTTTTTTTATAGGTGGTGGTTCTAATGAAGCAATAGTTGGTTGAATTTCGAGATGATTTTGTAGCAGAACTTTTATTCGATCCACCCTGTCTCTCATGTTGTTGTATGCGCGTTCTGTATTATTAAAGCTGGCATGAAGAGACTCTGCTCCCTGTTCACCCATCATGGCACATCCCACTTTCCATTGATTCAACCATGGAATAAGGTGGTCCTCCATGAAGTGTAGCTTGGGTGTGAAAGTAGCTGATAGAAATGCAGACCTGTAGTACTGCACGAAGCATTTAATTGATTCATCTAGAGGTATAAATTAAACGTTTGCATCATGCTATAAATAGTGTATGTGTACCTAATGTTTTGATGTCTTCCTGGGAGAATAAAGAGTGTCCATCATAAAGTTTTTGGCATTTACCAAACAGTGTAAAAGCTGTGCTAAATTTTTCCTTAATTTCTAATGCTTTTGGAAGAACTGTTACATCATGTAATGTTGCAGTATTAATGACACTGCTACACAATGTATCAATGTTCTTAGCCTATTAATGAAGCAATGTATTTTAATTTCAGATATGATAGATACCTTCAGAGCTCTATGAATGTGGTTTCCAACGAATGACCCACCATGGTATGCTTGCCTCTCAACTTTAAATGAAGCAAGAGCTACATCAAGAGACCGAACAAAAACCCCATCTTCTTTATCAAAACCTTTTCTTAGAACTGCCTGCTGCTTCATTATCTCATTTTCCTAAGTTAGGTAAAACCATATTAATTTTAAATAGTATTATATTTTCTGCATACAATCATAGCAATCCTATTTATGCTATCAATAATAAGTTTTGATGTGGATATGACTACTGGATTGTGTTGATGGTCTTGTGTAGTCAAGAGTTGTAGCTTAAGGTACTGGTTGGCAATGTTCACTTCATTATGAAGTGATAATTTCTCAGTTTCCATTGCTCTCTCTGATATCTTTGCTGTCATGTACTGCTAAAAAGAGAAATTCTGGGATGACCTAGCAGTGGTAATCTGTTTGTCCAGAGAATGGCATTCCTCTTCTAACAAGTTGAAGAGTCTTCGAAAAACTCCTAGTGTAATATGGAGTCCAGGTGGGCAAACCTATATTGAGTTGTTTTAGTTACGTTATTTGTGCATAGCTAAAAAATTTACTTGTGTTAGCGGTATGTGAAAAAAGTGCTTCCAATTACATTATCATAAAATTTGGCCTTTTTGAGGTCTCCACCAGCTTTCAAAAATTCATTATGCTTATCCCTCAGTGTAGTTAATGATCTTATTTGTGGTTGTCTGTTACTCTTTGGGGTCCCTAACTCCTCTGATTTTATAGAGCACCACAGACAACAGTGACGGCCTATTTATGCATAAATACTACTTTTATATTTAGTGTACAGTGTATACCACTAGCTCCTGACAATCCATATAAGTGGCATAGCAATTGGTAGTCTCCAAAGAGAAATATCCGTATACTGTAGCTCCTATCATTGTTACAGATGTTACAAATAATTTTTTTCTTTATTTACCTCCAAGTAGAATTCTGGATATCATGTGTCACATCAGAATATTTGTCCAGAGCAATATGTAGATTAACAACAGAGTCTGGTCCTTCAAATAAGGCAAAGACAAGACTGTTGTGGACAGAGTTGGGTTTTTCTACATTTACAATCTGGAGAGACATCTTAAAAGATGTCCCACCCTTATCGAATCCTATCTTGACCCAGACCTCATTTGGTGGTATCTTGTTATGCCAGGTTAGTTTGCCATGTCTGTATATTACTTAATTGGAAATATACTTATAAATTACAGAATACCTTTCATTCTCATCCAACAAGTGGTAAATCAGTGCCTTTAAGTCTCACACATATCCCATTGCTGAAGGTCTCAGCTCACGACCTCCACTTTTAGTATCAAAACTTAAAGTTACAGCTTTGGCATGAACATTTTTATCTCCTACTTCAACTCTCATCACTCCTCGTTGCTTCCTTTCACTAGCCATCTCAGCACCCCATGACTTGAACCATCTATATGTAAATGTAGTATACTAATAGCTATCACATAATAGGCACAGTGTGTATACCTTCTCATTAATCGTAATTTATGCCATGGTATATTTAAATTGGCTTTCATCATAGGCGGCT